TAAAACAGCAACTCACTGTGCAAAAACAAGTGCCTAGGCTGCCAATAAAAATATAAACACACCAGGTTAAATGAAATATATACCCAAAATAGATATATATACATAAATAATATTAACGTCAGACTCCAATCCTTGAAATAATACAAAGTGACCCGTGCTTAAAAACAGCAACACACTGTGTAAAAAATGCCTGGAAAAAAATAAATAAACGACAATTGAATAAAATCATTAAGTGTAAACATTGATAGTGACCAGTCCAACAAAAAGTGCTTCAATCTTCAGTGCACACTATAACTGCTCTCAGTGACACTCTTTCTGACTTATCCCACAGTGGCTAAAGTGCCTGATCACCTCCTAACATCAACCCTTAAGGGCCACAACACCTTGGGTAATCCTCAAACCAGACGGCTTCCCACACTATGGCTCCACCGACTCCACTGACTCCAATCGGGCTCTGATTATTTCCAAAAAAGAGGTGTTTATTGAAAACCAAACACACAGATTGATACAAGACAGAATAAAATTTCAAACGGGTTGAACATAGGGCATATGGCAAAACATATATCATACAGAAGAGCATGAAATCCAATGCAGAAATGAACAAATTGGATGAGTAAAACCACGACAAGGTTGTGCCTGCAATATTCCAGTGTGCTTGTCAAACGATTAGAGCAAGGAGGCACCAGGCGTTCTGCATTAATGTCTCAAAGTATGGTGCTATGGAGGAAAGGAGGGAGCGTACAGTATCTAAGCAGAAGTCCATACTACAGGTTTGAGATAGTGGAGGTGGCGGAGAGCGTATATGGGAGTAAATTGTCATGGAAATCGCTAATGGGAAAGGAGATAAGATGTTGACATCATGCCTAATGCTCAGCGGAATAATTATCTGGAGCTTGTACAAGCATAAGAGAGGAGAAAAAAAAAAAAAAAAGAGGAAGGAGAGAAGCGCAAAGGAAAGAAAGAGAAAGAAAAGGGGAAGGAAAAAAAAAGGGGGGGGGGGAGGGAAACACGTGGGTAGAAGGGAGTGAGGGAAGGGATGACTGCAAAAATTATTTGATCATCAATACGGGTCATATCAGGTGCGGTAGAAGTTTAAATTAACATTAGTGTCAAATAAATGTGGGACGTACACGGAGGAGGGGGAGCATGTTGACCACCATCGGGTCAAATACAACTGAGTTACAACAGTAGGGAATCTAAGTCAATTCAAACAGGTTGGTCCATCAGAGATCGATATGCGGGGGTAGTCAGAAAATGAGTCCAACAGGCCCAAGTGTGGGAAAATTTTGTAGGGGTATCAAGTGCAGTCGCAATCAGTTCTTCCATAACTGCCGTTTTTCCCACTCGGGTGAGCCAATCGCGTATAGAAGGGGGGCGTGTGGAACCCCACAGGACAGGGATGCAGAGTCTGGCTGCATTGATCATGTGCATAGCTAAGGATTTGAAATACTGCCCCCCGGAAAGGGAAGAGTGATGGAGGAGGAATTGAGCCGGAGAGAAATCCACAGGCAAGGTAGTTACAGACATCACTAGCCTGTTGCAGAACAGAGCAATCGGGCTCTGATTATAACTCAGCGCATCAAATATCCCTTTCACACAATAGGCTCAGGCATGCATGACAGGGGTAAAGAGAAAGACCTCCATAGTGTAATACCACTTTATTAATGAAAAACGCCAAATAAATGGACACTCACATTAAAATCCTATTAGTACAGCAGTTTCCCATGTGCTATGGGTGTACTAGGGGACTCGGGTGTATCAAGATGGTGTCAAAACCGGAAGTGCATCACCGCTGAAACCGGAAGTGTGTCACCGCACATGCTCTCTACGCGTTACACCACGATAGGACACGTGGCTTCCTCTTCTTTAAGAGGCTCCTCTGTCCTGCACTCATTACCTGTATCAATGGCACCTGTTTGAACTTGTTATCAGTATAAAAGACACCTGTCCACAACCTCAAACAGTCACACTCCAAACTCCACTATGGTGAAGACTAAAGAGCTGTCCAAGGACACCAGAAACAAAATTGTAGACCTGCACCAGGCTGGGAAGACCGAATCTGCAATAGGCAAGCAGCTTGGTGTGAACAAATCAATTGTGGGAGCAATAATTAGAAAATGGAAGACATACAAGACCACTGATAATCTCCCTCGATCTGGGGCTCCACGCAAGATCTCACCCCGTGGGGTCAAAATGATCACAAGAACGGTGAGCAAAAATCCCAGGACCACACGGGGGGAACGAGTGAATGACCTGCAGAGAGCTGGGACCAACGTAACAAAGGCTACCATCAGTAACACACTACGCTGCCAGGGACTCAGATCCTGCAGTGCCAGACGTGTCCCCCTGCTTAAGCCAGTACATGTCCGAGCCCATCTGAAGTTTGCTAGAGAGCATTTGGATGATCCAGAAGAGGATTGGGAGAATGTCATATGGTCAGATGAAACCAAAATAGAACTGTTTGGTAGAAACACAACTCGTCCTGTTTGGAGGAGAGAGAATGCTGAGTTGCATCCAAAGAACACCATACCTACTGTGAAGCATGGGGGTGGCAACATCATGCTTTGGGGCTGTTTCTCCACAAAGGGACCAGGACGACTGATCCATGTGGCTGGGTTTTCCAACATGACAATGATCCCAAACATACCGCCTGAGCAACGAAGGAGTGGCTTTGTAAGAAGCATTTCAAGGTCCTGGAGTGGCCTAGTCCGTCTCCAGATCTCAACCCCATAGAAAACCTTTGGAGGGAGTTGAAAGTCCGTGTTGCCCAGCGACAGCCCCAAAAAATCACTGCTCTAGAGGAGATCTGCATGGAGGAATGGGCCAACATACCAGCAACAGTGTGTGCCAACCTTGTGAAGACTTACAGGAAACGTTTGACCTCTGTCATTGCCAACAAAGGATATATAACAAAGTATTGAGATGAACTTTTGATATTGACCAAATACTTATTTTCCACCATAATTTGCAAATAAATTCTTTCCAAATCAGCCAATGTGATTGTCTGGATTTTTTTTCTCATTTTGTCTCTCATAGTTGAGGTCTACCTATGATGCCAATTACAGGCCTCTCTCATCTTTTTAAGTGGGAGAACTTGCACAATTGGTGGCTGACTAAATACTTTTTTGCCCAACTGTATAACCGTTCTGCAAGGGATCCCTATCATACTGAAGAGGGGGAATCCACTCCCCTTCTTTAATCTCCTACCTGCTCAACAGCGCCTGCCTTTGTACAGGCAGCGAATCTCTATAAGTGCCCATGCTATGAAATGTGATAAAAAGAATAAAAATAGTATAAACAATATTCAAATATTTAGGCAGCTGTTACCTCTAAATAATTTTAGAATACCAGATGATATGAACAAAAACTAGAAATAACAGCGCTGCTGCTATATAACAAATAATGTAAATAACAAATGCATAAAAAGTCCAAAATAATGATCCTCTAGAAGAGACAGACCACATGAACCTCACACCTCACTAACAAGATAGTTTTGACTCCTTGTATTAGCAAATGAGTCAAAATAGGCATGTGTACATAGGACCAGGAAAAGACAGCTTCGGTTTATCTGCAGGTTACTCTCTAAGTTGTAGCGTCACCCCCGCAGGAGCCCCTGGTAATATTGAGTCTTCTGCTTATTATCTGACCCTAACAGAGGTCTCACTCATATTGATACCTCCAGAATACCAATTAACCTGGGTACCTTTAAGAATGCACTCAGCATGTACTGCAGTACCAAGAGCATAAACAGTAGCTCTTTGACTGGGAGATTATGCCTGTGAGTGCCTGGTAGTGACTGTGGAATGGCTAATGATAAGAATGGCAGGCTTGTACAATTTAGGGCTCTCAGTCTGGATGGACAAGGCTTAGGCTGGAAAGTTAGTTATACTACTATCAAACTAGTGCTGTCACCAGGCAGACCACAGGGCTGAGGTGCTGAAGGAGGAGGACTGGATTAATAGGGTGAACCAGATAAGTAGAATGGAAAGATCATACCATATGCAGGAAGATAGGATGAGAGTTTATTTTAGGAGATGGGAAAAGTGGGAAAGAGCAGGTTTGAAAGAGAAATATAGGAAAATATGAACTAGGATGTTAGCAAAAAATGAATAAACCTCAAGTGAGTAGAATGGCTAGAGTCTGCAGAGGGGGAGGAGGGGGGATGAGGGGCGGGATGGGGGGTTGTGGGATGGGAAAGAAAAGAGTTTTTAGTAAGGGAAAGATAGAAATGTTATAAATGTCTATTTGTATGAGAATTATTTCCCTTTTTGGGTTTTTGTATTAACATGAAAAATTTAATAAATATTTAAATTAAAAAAAAAAAAAAAAAAAACCAGGCAGACCACAAGATGTTAACCTCTGCCGGAGCAGTTGGGACCCTTGAATGTTAGAATGAAAAACAATGGAATGTTCCTGGGTTGTAGAATTCAGAAACAATTAGATGAAAAGTTTAACTCAGTCAGTGAGTGTACCCCTTTAAATCGACTAAGTGAAGACAAATGCATTTAACCACTAGCCTACAGGGCACTTATACCCCCTTCCTGCCCAGGCCAATTTCCAGCTTTCAGCGCTGTCACACTTTGAATGACAATTGCGCGGTCATGCAACACTGTACCCATATGACATTTTTATCATTTTTTTGGGACAGATAGAGCTTTCTTTTGGTGGTATTTAACCACCTCTGGGATTTTTATTTTTTCTTAAACAAACCAAAAACCACTGAAAATTTTGAAAGAAAAAAAGTTTTTTCTTAGTTTTTGTTATACAATTTTGTAAATAAGTGATTTTTCTCCTTCACTGATGTGCGCTAATGAGGCTGCAGTGATGGGCACTGATAGGCTGCACTGATGGGCACTGATAGGTGGCACTCATGGGCACTAATGAGGAGGCACTGGTAGGTTGCACTGATGGGCATTGACAGGCATCACTGATGGGCACTGAAAGGCAGCACTGATACATGACACTGATATATGGCACTGATAGGTGGCACTGATAGGCAGCACTGACTGGCACTGATAGGCGGCACTGACTGGCACTGTTAGGCAGCACTGCCTGGCACTGTTAGACAGCACTGATAGGCAGCACTGACTGGCACTGATAGGCGGCACTGATGCGCACTGATAGGCGACACTGACTGGCACTGATAGGTGGCACTGATTGGCAGCACTGATTGGCATTTATAGGTGGCACTGACTGGCACTGATGGGTGATATTGAAAGGCAGCTCAGATGGGCACTGATATGTGGCATTGATGTGCACTGGTATGCACTGATATGTGGCATTGATGTGGCACTGATGGGCACTGGCACGTGGCACTGATGAGCACTGACTGCTGGCACTGATGGACACTGACAGGTGGCACCTCTGGGGCCACACTGATCATCAGGGCACATTTCCCCTCTGCGGAAAGCCGAATACCAGCTCTCCTCACCTCTCGAGCTGTCAGCGTGACAGCTCAAGAGGAGAGAAATGCCGATAACCTTCATTTCTGTGTTTACATGCGATCAGCTGTGATTGGACACAGCTGATCACATGACTGAGCCGACATCTACGGCTCTTTTCGTGATCCGCTATGTCCGAGGGACACAGCGCACCGGCGATCGCCGCGCTGCGTGCTCTCTGAGCCGCGCATGTGCGGTGAGCATGGAAGGACATCATATCAGAACGAGAGAACCACCTAGCGCCTGTCATTGTACTATATGGCGGGCGGAAGGTGGTTAAAGGAAGGAGAGTACAATGTGGAGAGAAGATTGGCAGGAGTTAAGATTGAGATGTCATGCAGTAACTTTGGGTGCACACAGGCAAACAACATCAGCAGTCTGGATTTGTAGCAGCTTTGGTGGCAGTTTGTGGTATTGAGATAACTGCAGCTTTCAGTAAGAAATAACGGCTAATGTGTTTGGCTCCTATAGGGGAACAATGTCAATATGCTGCCTAGCTTGAAATAGGAAAGTAGAGGGACTGGCAGGATCACCAGACATTTCACACAAAGGAAGCAATAAAAAGAGAATTGGGTACTTTTTCTTGTTCAATGATGTTTTATTGACATAGATAAAGAATGAATTACAATGTTCAATACAAGAAAATGTGTAGTACATCACCTGCAACATTTTGACAAGTTAAGTATACTTCGGTTAGGTAACATATTGAGATACTATTTCAGACAGATACATCGTACAGTACACATAGCAGAAATATGAAATGTTAGGATAACATACACTTTAATTAAGTGGCTATTATAACATAAACTGACTCCTGTTATTATAACAGATTTAAAGAGACAAGGGGATATGTTACAATAAGTATAGAAATACATTATATAAAAATTTGACTATATGTACTGTATATTATTTTACTGTGGTAACACATCTTCTCTGTTGTTCACATGTTGTTCTTTATAAAGCAGAAGTGGAACAATTGTTTTTTAATGCATTAACTCAACAGTATGGTATCATTGTTGCCACAGTTAAATAACTGTTATATGTACTTCACATTTAACAATTAAAATGAACCACTGTGGGCTGCCTGCAAACAGACTGCTGCTTGACTCCTTGACCTCTTTTCTCACCTCTGAAAAGCTGATTCTCTTTGTCAATCTCTCCAGTGCTGGTCAGTTTCTCAAAGGGGTTGATTTACTAAGTGGTAAAGGTTGTTCACTTAGCAAAGTATAGGTTTACATAGCATAAAGAAAAGCTGTGTTCACTTTTCATACTCAACCATGTGCAATAATAAATAATAATAATAATAATAATAATAAAAACAGGATCTTTACTTGCACATAACTGAATTATTACTATCATTATTTGTATTACTCTGTTTAGCTTCTAGGAGCAAAAGGAAGTCTCTTGTACTCCGAGTCACTGGAATTGTAGGCTACAAGGTGTTATGGACTCCCGATATGATACAGATGATTGGTCCAATTTTGTCACATAAAGTATGTCAAATGCTCCTAAAAACCCAACAGTAGAGAGAATTTCATTCAAAGATGTTTGGGGTTTGTAAAATAAATAAACATATATAGTCACCTCAATGCTTCAGCATTGCTATGATGCTACAGCTGTCCCAAAATAGCTCTAAGATCGAGAAGTGATCACATGAATGCTAATCCCTTAGTTCTCAGTCTTCTTGGAGTGGAGAACAGTTACTATCAGTCACCGCTCTCTGCTCTGGCCCTGCAGCACTCACTGGAGAGCCAGGCAAGGGAGGTGGCAAGCACAGCTGACTCTGGCTCTCAGCCATATGCTAAGAAGTGGAGCCATCTGTCAATCAGGTAACTGAGAGAATCCCAACTAAATTTTTGGAATCCTTCCAGAGCTCTACCACATGAGTTGATAGCAGGCTATAACACACTATCAGCTGATTCTGGGTCACAGCAGAGGAAAAGTAAGTTCACTTCTGTTACCCACAAGAAAAGTATGGCCAAAAAAGCTTTTTTTTTTGTTCTTTTAACTTTCAGCACAAAATGTAGCAGTAAGTGATACAAAGCAAATATATGCTGTTGTTTTGCCCTGAATGAACAAAATCTAGATTTGCTATAAGCAAAGTAAGATTTATTAATACTTTAATAAATCAACCCCACAGGCTTTAAAACTTCTGTCTATAGCCTGCAAAGTTCTTTACAATCTGACACCTCCACACTGTCGGATTTGTTTGTTCTGCTTTACGGAAATCTAAACTGTGCTAAATTTAAAAACGTTTATGAAATGACTTTAAGAATAAATAAAAAAAAAAACATTCTTTATAATGTCACTAGTCACAAAATATCTGTCAGTAGAGGAATAAGAATGAGGGTCTGGTTGGCACTTGACATGTTTAAGAGTGAAAAAAAGTCTGAGAAACGTTCACTGAATAAAACTGTGCATATGTTAGTCTTTGGAACATTTAATAAATCATATTACATTCAGTACTCTCTCCTAAAATATATATTTTTACAATACCAGAGAAGGTGTTAGATAGATAGATAGATAGATAGATAGAAAGATAGATAAAGAAAAACCATAAAATAATATTATTATGATACTAACTAGGGCTAAATGCAAGCTTTTGTTTCCCTGGAGTGTTATTGAAAATCTGAAAATATCCATAAAATATGTCTGTTTTGGTTTTTGAATTGAAGTCAATGGGTAAGAACAAAATGAAGGCGGCTTTTGGTGTTTATTCTATTCATTTGGTAAAAAAAAAAACAGGTCCTCATTAGCCTAATTAGTTTACATTTTCCCTACAGAAAAAAAAAAAACAATCAGAAAAAAGTAAATACATTGCTTTAAATAACAATATATAAATAGCAATCAAATTAAAGAGAAAAAAACAAAAACAAATTTAAAGACAACTGAATTAAATAACAGAATTCACTATAAATACCACCCCCTTGTTTTTTGTTTATCAAAAAAATTCCAAATATTCAATTATTGACATTTTTAACTTTGCCAACATTTTCAAGCTCCAGAAATCCATAGGAAATCATCTCAATAACCTTTACATAACCTCTTTGATACTTCCTTTTGACAATGCTATTCTTAAGCTAATTCCATGATTTCACATACTCTTTTAAAACAATTCTCTACCTCTCTCTGTTAGGAGTGCTTTTTAAAAATAAATCCCCCTTTCCTTTTTCCATACCGAATGGCAAACATTTTATTGTGCCATCACCTTATTCACTAGCACAGACTATGGGATTAAATGTATTATGCTATTTATTTTGCAGTAAATGCATCTGACCCTAAATATTTATTTAGGTGCATTCTCCACAATTTTAAGATACATTACCTTAGGCTTTCAGTGGAGGAACTAGACTATAAATAACAGAGGGTCACATTGGGAAACAAGAGCTTGGGACACTTTTGACAGTTATCATAATTGATTCAAGCACATAGCTACCATACTGCCATACTGTAACCATAATAGTATCCATCTGGGCAAGCTCAAAGGAACCTAAAATGGGTCTTATTTTCATTGTTTCCTGGCACATTCTATTTATTATTGAAATTACATAGATTTCAGCACTAACATTTCCTTTGAGGCAACCATTATGAATGGACTAAAAATCACACCACAACACTTAACCTCCCTGGCGGTATTCCCGAGTGTAGCTCGGGGTAACATTTCAGTACCAAAAGCGGTAACCCCGAGCTACACTCGGGGGAATACCATGCGGCGCTGCTCCGGCATGTGTTCTTCACTTACCTTACCCTGCGCTCCCACGATGTGTCCCCTGCAGCGTCCCGGCCATCTCCTCCGGCCGATGCCGGCATCCGGCTTCTGTGTCCTGTCCCTGTGACGTCGGGACGTACGGGCGCCGCCGCCGCCGCGGCGGCGGGAAATTTAAAAATTTTAAAAAATGTATTATTTTTTTTTTTTTCATTTTACACAGTAAAACATTGCTGTCTCAACCTATTTCACATACATATTGTCCCTAGTGCTTTGTCCTGAGCCCTGCCTGCATTTTGTCTGTTCTTTCTGCCTGGAAACTGAGAAATGTCCATGGCGTCCAAAAAGTGTCCCTTTAGGTCAAAAGCGGTTTAGATCAGCTAGAGAACAGCGATAGTAAATCAGAACCACTTACAGAATTGAGTGATAATGATTCGTGGGGGGAAATTCGTCATCAGAAACTGAAAAACGATTTTGCGACTGAGCTCAGCAATGTGCGAACTTGGCGCTCTATTTCACATTTCAGTGTTTTTGGTTTGATTATATTATTGAATTAAATTTTTTATTATTTTTATATTATTTTTATGATTATTTATTAATTATAATTTATGATTTTGTGTTTCAAATTTTATCATACCCGGGATGTTTACTAGACTCTTGTTCGGACAGATTTCAGTGAGTTTTTCCTAAAAATTACAGCCTACAATAAAAAAAATACATATTTCCATGCAAAAAAATGGTACCGCTTTCAGCACCAAAATCTGAAATAATCATACCGCCAGGGAGGTTAAAGGAGGGCCCTGCTCTAGTTAGTTCACTTGCCTCATTCCAGTAGCTCTGGCTGTCCTGCTAACCATACTTACAGTAACTATGGGGTTGGTTTAGTAAAAGAGTATAGAATGTTCTTTTTGACAAAAAATAATTTTCACTTAGCTTAGTAAATACAGTGAAAATTCACTTTGTAAATAACACTCAATCACAAGACAAAACAGTATTTTTGCTTGGATATGACTGGATGATGTCCAGTCCAGAAGTCAGCAGAGCTTAACTGCTTTAGCTCCTTCCTATTGCAGAATTACTACTATAGGGTGGACTTCCTGTGTAAAATCACATATATATACATGATTCATGCTCCCACCGTGATCGAGGGCCGGGGGCACATGCGCCGACCCGGCAGTGCCGTGATTCGGTGCCTGACAGA